TACATCAATTTTTGTATTTGTTTCAATCTCTAGAATTATTCTTTAAATTTTCTAATTTTTCACTCGAAACTTATATTTACAGTTTTAGATTTACATTGTTTATGAATGTTATAAAATTGTTATGTAATCTACTAAATTTTTTTATTTGTAATTAATAATTTCATTTTTCAGTTTTCATAACAATTTGATATGGAGATTTATATTGTAATTTGAAATTTGATTATGAAAGTGAATAAAACAATTTTACTGATAAATATACAATTTATTTCAAAAGTATATCGAATATTTTTTATACAAATAATTGTATTTGTAATTTTTTTTAAATTCATACACCAATTATATCTATTATATTGCTGATAGAATAGAACAAACGTATCTTACATTTAATTGATATAATTATTTATTTTTCATCTAAATTCTAAGATTTCTAAATTTAGATAAGAGCAAAATATATTATTGTGTAAAATGAAATTATTATAAACAAGATGGACGATTGATTTCAAATTGTTTATTTTACCAAAATCAAAAACCAACATATGTATCAATTCAATAAAATAACATTTATGAAACATTTTTGATTGAAATACGATAGTATATTATCATTGCGTGATGAAAATATTTGAACAAGTTTTAGTGATAGATTTAACTTGCAAAAACTTAAATATTTTTAATAATTTATAATTGAAGATTTGTAAAAGTCATTTACGAAATTCCAAATTTAAAAAAAAAAAATAAAGACATCAATTCAATTATTAATTATTAATTAAAAGATATATATATATATTTCTTCAATTATTTTTCTCTTTCCAAATATCAAATCAAAGCATTTATCAACAATGTAACTAATTTTTTCATCAATTTCGTCTAAAGTCATTTAGACAAAAATAAATCTATCCTCCTCACAAGATTCTCATTTGACATAACAAACCATCTCTAATTTAACCACTCTCTTTGAACTCGACAACAAAATGAAAGTACCTGAGCACTTACTATTGTAATCATTATTTAATTCATACCTTTGACGCTTTCTGAACGAGATATCGTATATTCGGTCAGTGGGCCTGTTTGGAAAACGCTGCGATTTAATTATTCGAAAAATATAATTAGAAGATTAGGAGGATTCACGGTACACCTATTCAGGACGTTGATTTTTTTCCAGCGTCGGCGCAATAATTATCTTAATGCGCGCTCCCTTCCTTCCTAAATTCTCATCCCTGTGCATGTGTGGAATCCGCAGCTGCGGCTGCAGAGGAACATCGTCCTTGCAAACATCTCGGTCAGCAAGTTCGGATCGAAGATTTCAACACCCACGAGTTCCACTCGAGGGACCTGAAAAATTTTCACGTGTCGCGCTCTCCTTTACAACTTTTACACCAATTATTTTACATCGCCGCGAATTATATATCGCGCTTTATTTTATTTTCCGCTCTCTCGAGTTTTAGTATTCAAAAAAAAGGATGCTCGCTCATCAAACTTGCGACTCTATTGATCGTTCGATCAACACTGTCGATCGAAACTAAAACGCGAGACGACGCGTTTAAAAAGAAATTTCTGTTTTTTTTTTTTTTTTCTTATGCTGCAAAGATTACATGGGCCTTCACGTGTACTTTCTTCTCAGACAAAGGATGCAATTTGTTTTCGTGGCCGAGATTACAGGCACGAAATTTATTCTCTAAATGGCTGAACACGAAGGTTAAACTCTTGACATAACTGTTCGAAATTGAAGATTGGCGAGATCAATTGTCGATTTTCCTGTTTGTGATATTTCTCGAAAACTAAGTACTAACTAACTAACTAAACTAAGTATTAACTAAACTTTCTAGAAATTATACAAAAGGGATGTTTGTTTTTTACAACCTGGAATTTGCGATTTCGTGAATTGAAAGCTTGGGATAGTTTTGAAACTTGAAAATGTTGGAGTAAATGATCAGATGAAGGAAAATTATTTTTTTAATAAGTGTTAAAAGTATCGAGAAATATATAATTTTGTTAGATAAAATTAATATAATTAAGTATTATATGCGAATTGGAGGAAAAATATAATTCTTACTAATAACATTAATAGAATTTTCTATTAATATAAAAAATAATTAACAATTTCATTAATCGAATCAATTAATTGTAATAATTTTACCTTGCTCCTTGATGAATAAACTTTATCCACTTCGTTGAAATCAAACTTTGATTAATTTCAACATAGCTATAAATGTCAAAAACTTTTATAATTTCGGTCAGTTGATCGTGCGGTCAAGTGATCCGGCATTTAACAGTCGATGAACTGTTAAAAAAAAAAACTTATAAAATCATTATTGATTGACCTTTCTTAAATTTAATTTTTTTTCACTTATTAATTTTCGAGACCACTCCATGTTTAAACCATCCAACCCTTCATATCGATCGTTGATACATCGGTTTTAGAAATAATCTCGCCAAGTTTAGATGAAATTACGCTGGGACTGAAGATTTCACGTGGGTTGCGTGGCAAAAGATATGCGTCATTAATAAATTTTGCAACGTCAACGATACTTTTTTTAATTATTCATTCTCGAGATATGTATATATGTATTTATTCATGTGTACATACGCGTTCAACTTCTTTTTTTACTAGCAAACTATTTTTTCTTTCTTCGAAAATTCCAACGCAATTCTTTTCTTCTGTCTGACAAAAATAAAGTAATTAAATTGCTTTTTCAATCAAATTCTGGTTCTAGTGGGTAATAGTCCTTGATAATTTGAGATTCTTTTTGCTTGATGGACAACATTGTATATTCAATAATAAAGTAGAGTGGAGTGAATATGCTCTTTCTCTTTTAACGTTGGAGATTTTATTTATACTAAACTTAAGAAAAGAAAGGTCTGTCTTTCTTGTATATAAAAATGTAACGTCGTTACATACAATAAATTAACCTACTTTTTCAAAAAACAGTGCAATAAATTTCTTTAAAAATTATATACATAATTAATCGTAATAAATTTTCTTGAATTATATTTTTTTTATATATATTATATTATTGCATTAATTATTGTAAAATGGAATTATTTTATTAATTTATCTATAAATTGTGATGTGTTTAATTTAATTGGAAAAAATGAAATATCTCATAAGAGATAATTGAAATTATAAAAGAAAAATTTTTTACAAAAATTGTTTGATGACACTTTTCTATATATGTATATGTATATATGTATTAAATCTTGTAAAATTATCTGTTCCTTTAAAAGAAAAATATGCAGGTTGTTCAGATGAAAAAAGAACGAAAAGAAGAACCATTTTCTTCTTTTCATTATTATACTTAGAACTGAACACGCATTGTATAGTCTGTTGATAAAGGAACACCAGCTGTATTAGAAATTCTTCTTTCCTGCCACTCTCTCGTGTTCTTGTTTCGTTTTCAAATCGATATATAGCGTGTGCATTCCGCCGAAATCAATGCGCTCCCTTTATTATCGTTTCCTAAACAACAGATCACACTCTGTCTTTGGAAAAGTAACAAAAGGTATGGAGAGACAGAGTCGGCCGATAAAAGAGAGAAAGAGAGAGAAAGGAAGAGACTAAACGAGAAAAGAGATGATGCTCGAGGCGAAACTGGAGCTCGAAAGGATTCGCTTTAAGTGATTAAAAATTCGTATAGCTTACGAGATACGCTCTATTTTTGTTTCTATAATCTATAAATATCATCTAGCTAACCTACAAATACGTTTTCATTCTCTCTTTTGTTTTACGATGTATCGATGGAAGATTGTATTATTTTCATTATTTGGAATTATCTATAAAAATAATCATGTGTATTATGATATTATTTCGAATTGTATGTATGATTTTGCGTGACTTTACACTGATTTTATTGCTGCAATATTTTCATGTAACAATAATAACTTACTGTGTTATCGATATAATTATATGGGATACGATGTATGATTACATTATATTGTTGATTGAACAATTTATGTTCATTGATATTTATTCCGATTATTTTTAACAATGATGTGTTTCGTACGAATATTCATGTAGCTATTCATATTAGAAAATTTTTTGATATATCGAAATTACGATCGGAACAATTAACATAATATTTTATGTTCATTTAATTTTAAATTTTACGACCACATTATATCATATAAAAAATTATTTTAACATCTAATAATTAAAATGGTATTTTTGCGTGATGTTTTAAGCGATATAAAGAAAGATATTTTCAAAATTTTTTTTTTTTACATTACATGAATTGATTATACTTTGTTTCATCAATGAATTTTCGTTTGAATTTTATTTTTCTATTAAACTATCAGGATCAATTGAAATATTGTTACGATTAAAAATTCTTTTATGAAAATATGAAAATAGAAATTAAAATTGAAAATTATTAATAAACAATTATTTGAATAATAATATTTGAAAAATAAATTATTTTAATATTCGTTATTTAATTTTATTACAAAAATGTAGAAATGTAATGAAATTTCTATTCGTAAAAACAATTTTTTTATTATCTAAATTTTACACACTTTTTCCTTTTATACTGAAGAATTTTACTATTCATTATCTTTTATTTCCTATTATTATTTAAAATCATCACAAATTTGATAAATTTGACAAATAAATAATTTAAAAATAATTTTTTTCTCAAGATAAGATTTTGAAATTAATTTTATTTCAAAAAAAAGTACCCTAATTCTAAGTAGGACGTTATCGAAAGATATAATAAAAACCATGATCGTATTATAGTCTATGACGCGATTCAAATTTACGTTAGAAGAGATGAGAAAAGGGACTCGAGGGGACAAGAGAAATGCGAATAAGTTTAAAAGGAGTTACTTTGATGCGTCTTTGAAATACCGTCCGATACCGATGGTAGCATGCTGTTGCAGAGGGTTGAGGATAGTGACATGGTCCGTAGTAGTGCGTTGGCGCGTCCCGAGTGATGGGATGAGGGGTTAAGGGGGGCAGGTGATGTTCCCACATCCGTCGACCAGCTTTCCTCGGAGCCAGTCGGATGCTAGACGTGGTAGGAGTCGGTTCTTTACCTTCGGCTCGACTCGGTCCTAATCGGTTTTCATCGGCTACTCGTGCTTCTCATACATACAATCATTGGATTCGCGACTTGAATATATTCGTTTCCATTGTGAATATTTTCATGTAATTTGACATTTGTGAAAAACGTTTGATTTAATGAAAAGCGAAAAGCTTGGATGCTAACAGAAAAAAGAGAAAAAAGAACGAATGACAGGTCGTTGCACTTGCTGCGTCCAACTAGTGTCGACGCTTCGTTAAATTTCCGTGCATGATTTGTGTTTACTGGCCGCGCGTTATACCGTTATTTGTGACACTAGTAAACTGCGAAATTTCGTGACATCGTGACTCTCTTTGTGTTCTCATCCCGATACTTTCGAACATTGTGATCTTTTCTCGATTTTCGAGACATTTATCGTATCTGAAACTCGTTCAAAATTTAAATCATCGAAAAACGGAACAAGTGAGATCGTGACAAGAAAGCACATAGAACGACCTGTTGTGTTGTGGGATAGCGATCCAACAGGAAGACACGTACGTTTCTGTGCCTGTCGAGACTCGTTTTACGCCGCTAGAAAAGTGAACAGTGTATGGCGACGCGTTTCTGAACATTGAACGCCAGTTCAAATTTACACTCCACATTGTGATCGGTTGGTACGATTTAAAGATCGAATCCTTTGCGGTGGGACAGCAGCGAGTCGAGTAAGAGGAAAGGCAAATTCACAGAAAAATTCCAGCAATAATGCGTACCGTGAGCGAAGCGATGAAACATCGTGCGATCAGCTGACTAGCCGAACTATTCGGCGGTCGTGAAAACTCAGCCGATAGCGAGAATCGGCAGAGGAGCGGCAAGAACTCTCAAAAACGACAGCAACCTAGATTGCCTACTTGTTCGGTTATGACGTTTGGTACACCATTTCACACAGAGAAGTCGCAGTTCGTCGGCGATAACCCTACTCGGTATGTTCTTTATCCCGTATTTATCTTTTCTTTGTTTTGTTTGTTGTCCTGAAAAACCGGTTTTGAGAAATATATATCGTAATACCTGTAAGGTTTTTCGAGATTGATACACAAAGTTCTGAGCTTATAACGAAAATTCTGATTGAAATTATAAAAACTATCTTTTTTTTTTTTCTATTATCATTCATTTTGAAATATGACATTTTAATATATTTAATTTTTATAATCCGTTTTATAATTGCGTGTAATTTTTGTGAAATATAAATATATTAACCTTATAAATATAAGATTTTATTTCATATTTAATATATAACACATAATATGTAATCTATTTTATACGTAATAATTTTTGTATATCTAAAAATATATCTACTTTGTATTATATATTTGCATTACATTTAATATGTAATATGTAATATGCAATACGTAGTTATTTTATATATCTATATTATAATATTTTATATATCTATTCCATACACAATAACTTTTAATATCTAAGAATTATTTATAGTGATTTCTAGTCCGATTTTGTTTTTCCTAATTTATTATTTTTGAAATTTTTTTATTTTTAAACACTTAAAATTAGCTAAAATAAATATAATCATATAAATAAATTAATCATAATAAATCAAGTAATTAATAACAGTAAATATCTAATCGAGTTCAATAAATATTTAATTTTATCATTTTGTCATATTAAATTAACTTTTTATGTTAACAACATAAGTTAAAAAAAACAAACAAGTATATATTTATTTTTATATATATCAAATTCTTTTCGATTAAAATTGTTCTTACGATTAGTTAAACAATCTTTTTGCACATAGTATTTCTCTAATACAATTCTTCAATATTATAAATATAAATGTACATAATTTTCTATACAGTTTTTTAAATTTACAATTTCTCTTAATTATTCGAATGAATAAGTGATAGATTTATTTTCGTTTTCTTACATGTATATGAATATCCGTAATTGACAAGAATAGTTGACAAGAAACAATGATCTCATTAACGATCACAATCGCAGAAACGCTCATGTTGAAACAGCAATAGCCATGCAATTATTTCATTATACTGGAAAGGTAAATGATTCTTTGAAGAGAATGCTACGCTAATGATTTCGATAATGATTATGTTTTATGCAACTTTGTGAAGATTAAATTTTTTTTCGATCGTAATATGCGAAAATTCATTCTTTGAATAAGAAAGAAAAAAAAGATATCTCATTACTATTTTTATATATCATTATAATATAATATATTCTTTTGACATTTTATTTATATATTTGAATATTATAATTGAATATTTTATATATACATATAAAAGTAATATTATTTTTTATATATAAATGTTTATTAAGATTAAAATATATAACTTTCATATAATTTAATATATTAAATCTAAAAAAAAAAAAAGAAAAATATGTATAAAAAGGATTGAAAAATTACGTATAAAATACGTATAAAAATTTTCATTATTATGTAGATATAATTGGTATATATAATAATATCCAAAAATGTTCCCCTACAATTAATAATATTTTCGATAAATCGATATCAATAAATATTGTTAATATCATCGATTGTACGCGATTTTAAAACAGATTAAGCGAATTCAAAATATCATTATATCGACATCATTGTTAATATCTTTTTAATAACATTATTGTCAATATTATTGATCGTATTGGATTCCTTAACGCGAGGTTCAACTTTCCAGGAAATGAATACAATTGAAGCATTCATGTATAATGCATACATACATATATTCCTTTCGTATTTGAGTATAATCCAACTATATCCTCCATTTATTTGAATTAATAGAGGGACAAGATCATTTGGATCACAAATGTTTCTCAATCCAACCTCCATTATTCGAACTAATAGACAGATAAGATCATTTGGATCACAAATTTTTCTTAAACGAGTCTATCGTTTAATAATAATAGATAATAAAAAGTAGTCTTGTTATTAAAAAGTAGAAAATCCATCCAGATTTAACTGCCAGATTGCACGCTTTTTTTTTTTTCAATACACAAATTTCAAATTAAATTCCATTTGTTAAAAGATATCTGTGCACATTTATTGCGAATAGAAATAGTGTACGATTCGGTGTAATTGAATGTTCATTTGTTAAAATATTCAGATATTCTACTGTATCAGAATTAAAAAATAAATATTGCGATCCTCTTAGTCTTTTAATAAACTTCTGAATGAGAAAACGTGGAAATTTTTTTTTCTCTAGAAATAAGAAATTCCCAAGAAATAATTAGCAGTTAAAGAAGTATCCACGTATTTGTTATATACGTATGCACGTGAATTATATTACGATTTGGCACTAATTAGATGCATTAGAACGTCATTGGATGAACATGCATGAGCAATATAGATTGACACTTATGATGCAGTCATGATGCAAAAAAAAAACTTTAGGACATATCCTGCTAATCGTTATTAGCACACTGCTTTTTTTTTTAGACTCAGAAATAAAAGTAGAATCAGTGAAATGGTATGCGAATGATCGAGAGAAAGATATAATACACACAAGTCTTGAAAGTTGTATCTTTGTTCTGTTGCTTCGCGTTAAGGAATTTCAATGGCGTTGTCAGACCATGAGAAAATTCTGACGCGCATAAATCTCGAGATGAAAATAAATCTTACATAGGGAAACTATCTGAATGGTGATGAACCGAGATATTTGTTTTCGTTTCGTATATCTTATTGCTATGGAAATAAAATGAAAAAAGAAATTTACAAAATAAAAATTAATAAATATCTAAATAATATTGAAAAGAAACTTTTTTATAGCATGAGGAACAATAAAGGTAAAGAAAAATAAGATTATCAAACGAAAAGGAAATAGAATTCATCACGATATTGAATATTATATTATTCTTTGTAATATTTTTTTTTTTTTTCAATATTTTTTAACGAGGGAATAAACAGTAATTTAATAATTAAAATAATTAAAAGATGAATCATTTTTTAACGGCATAATTGCATAATTATTATATTTAGAATTATTATGAAGTAATATATAGCATTATTATCATTAAATAAATTATATATATTTGAAATCAAAATTTATAATCGATCAGACAAATCGTTAATAAAAATAGAAAAAAATTAATTTTATCCTCAAAAATTTTAAGAAAAAGTTTATTATAAATGTATTATCAATGTGGTTGCAAAGAAAAAGAAGTTAATTTATGATTAAAATCGAAAACAATTTCTTATATTGTTTTTATCATTTGTGTGATAAGCAATATGAAAGTTTCCTCTCAAATTTTTATTTATTTTATCATAAAACGATTAGAATAGATATAGGTATTGCTCGATAAACTAGAGAAAAGTAATATTATTATGTTAACATATGTAGAAACAAGGTCGTAATAAATTGTTATGACCTTATTATCTTCAATATGTTGTGTAGATTATTGCTACAATGGGATCTAAACGAGAGAAGAGAGTGTAAAATATTCATTTTGATTACAGTGAATTCTATCCTTTCCTTTTCGTTTGATATTCTATTTCCTTTTCCTTTCGATGATTTGTGTGAAAATGTTGTTTTTATTTATTGTTTGTCCGTTATGCTTTAAAAAAATTTTTTTTTAATATTATTTAGATTATATATTATAATATTATTAATTTTTATTTTGTAAATTATAAATTATCCTTAAAATAGAATGGAAAAAATTTTTTTTATTGTGAATACTATACATGTGTATAATATATCTACATATATTATGAACTTGTTTCGACTAAGTTTTGATAAGTAATAAATATTGATTTAAATGCACGATATTTATTTAAAGCAATTATTTCACGAAAATAAATATTATGAGTTTGAAACAAAAAAGGTGTTTCGAAAGAACGAATCAAACGCATGTTTTTTCAATGTCTGAAAATATTGAATTTTTTTCATTGTAAATTTTATTTTTTTATGATATCGAATATTATACACGTGTATATTCCATGTGTACATATATATCTTTCGCGCTGTTCAAATTCGTATCACCGTGCTTTGAAAGAACACGTTCCTTTTTACTTTATATTTGAATCAACGAATATACTTTCTGCTTTTTTTCTTGATTGAAAACTTGATAGAATTTTTCGGAAAAATTTGCAACTATATCTTTGATGAAATCTAAAATAATATTAACTTTTAATAAATATTATAAATTTTTATAATAAAATTAACTACAAACATGATTAAAATCTTATCTACACGCTACAAATAAATATATTATATCCTTCACAAATTTCTTATAAATATTCTTCTAACATTTAACAAAATAATTTAAAATCCCTGAAATTATTGTGAATAGCATTTGCAAATTTTTAATCCATTATTTATCATTTTCGTTAAATAAAAACGCCCACTTACAGATCTATTAAAGAATGCTCTATCAACTTTCTTATATTTCTTTTTCTCCATCTCGAAATAAGTATCCAATCATTCTAACTTTCAGCACCATTCTCCGTTAAAAAGCACGTATCACAATTACAAACGTCGTGATGTTTTTCACGTTTCAATTACTGAGTTTCCTGAATTTTCGCACCACTTCTCTCTCTCTCTCTCTCTCTCTCTCTCTCTCTCTCTCTCTCTCACGTTTTTTTCACGCTTGCACACACGTATATAATAATTACACACGTATATGGATCGTTTCACTCGTTGCGCCATCAAGTTCTTTCGTGTGCAACGAACCGGTGTCGTATTTCGTTCCATTCTTTTAAACGGGCAAGGAAAAGGTCGCACATCCATTGCCGCATTAGACCCTGGTTATGGTCATTGCGCCAATTCAGTTCGACATCCGTCCACGTCATTCGTTCGCGTGTGGACAGCCACTTCGTCGCTAAATAGCCGGGGCGGGATGACGTTTCGACCGTGTTGGCCGAATTCAAAAGGGTCGTTGACGTTGGGGAGGGGAGGGAGAGGATCGACGATTTTGTTTTTCGATCGAAGACCTTAATTCGCCGCGATGCCAAAGTTCGTCG